GAGAACAAAAACGTTCTTTCAAAAGTCCAGAGGCTTGGTCATCATATCACTTGCCCACTTCTTTCTTCTGACTATGTTGGCAGGTCTTAATAAGGGCTTCCGCCTAGCTGCTTTGCAACGATAACCCAATCTGTGGAAAATATGTTGAACAGATTTCGGGCTCATCCCACCAACTTTGGCGACTTCTGCAGTCGTTAATCTGGGATCCATTTCGATGCTTCTCTTGACAGCCCTATTTGTCCTCTCCGATGGACCAGGACGACCCGGACGCTGCTCAGTTGTTTCCTTGCCGTGTTTCCCGAACTGCACGATGACTCTGTTGACTGTCGAAAGCGGGATTCCCAAATTCTGCGAAATTTGCCGCTGACTAATTGCACCATCTGCTTGACCAACTGTCCTTCCTCCTACAACATGCCTAGAACTCAAGGTTCTCTCGAATTGTCAGATTTTGTTAAATTATCTTGTGTATAAATGAAAATGGTCCGCACACTTAGTGCTCTGTGAACACAAATTAGTTAGCATGAATCAGTTAAATGACGAAAAATTAGGTGTCTATTTACTTGTGACCACTCAGTGTACACATATTTCACAATCAGTTTATAAACAACGCCAGTAGATGGCAGTTTAGAACGAAGTAGCAACACGTAGGTTCAAGTTTACAGAAAGCTAAGAATAACGCGGAAGTTTCAATCAGTTTGTGTACAAGTTGTGGACTTTTTTTTTTCTTTTTTTTTTGACAAATAAACATCATTATGTACAATACCAAAACAGTCACTAAGTTTATTTTATTTCCGATATTTAGTTACATCTATTCTAATAATTATACACAACGCTTTGGGAAGTAGGTTAGGTGTGTGTTCACTAACGTAACAGCAGGCCTACTTTTTAGTGTCTGTTAAGTTAGACGTCTTTCTGTCCTGAAACGTAAAGTATGGCTATTGTGAAAGTCAACCAGCAAGAGATATTAAGCAAGGCAGAGGATATTGCAGATAAGGTAAAAATACCGCAGTTAATATTATTTTTTGTTAAGTTTTAGTGGCTTGTGTAATCAAATTTCTATGCTAAACTACATTGACATTTAAACTGACCTACATCATGAAAGCGGTCAGCACGTGAATGACGTGTTGCCACGAGAGCGAGCAGGTGAAAATATTAAACGTTTTTACCATACGGAGAAGTAAAGTTTCAATGACGTACCTAATTATGGTGAATACATAAAACAAATTCTACTAATTACAGCATAAAACCAGTTTAACTAACATACAAAAAATATAATCCTATCCACCGTATTTAGTATAAGCCAAGTTAGAACAGTGAGTCTATATTACTTGTACTAGAATCATTGATAGTAATACTAACAGTCAACATTGAAATTACTGTAATTTAAAGTACGTGTGGTGAAACAAGAATAAGTAAACAACTAACATGTGTCTGACATTTTATATTGTTATATTAACACTTCATACGTACAACATTCCAGACTATACTATTTTAAATTATATTAACACTTCATACGTACAACGTTCCAGATTATACTATTTTAAATTATATTAACACTTCATACGTACAACGTTCCAGATTATACTATTTTAAATTATATTAACACTTCATACGTACAACGTACCAGACTATACTATTTTAAATTATATTAACACTTCATACGCACAACGTTCCAGACTATACTATTTTAAAGGAACCATAACATCAGTGATACATTTCCTTTAAAGCTTATAACTTGCATCTTTTTGATGCAGTTCGTTAATGTTTTTATAAGTAAAGATGAATAAAATAATGGATTATCAAATAAATATTTATTTCTTACTTCGACTATTAATTTTTGGAATATATATATACTATTTCCGTTGTTTCTCCGGGTTTTAATATGTATGTACATTTTTGGGTTATATACTATTTCCGTTGTTTCTCCGGGTTTTAATATGTATGTACATTTTTGGGTTTAGTTGTTTTACAACTATTTCTGTTTTGTTTTTTCAGGTACTAAAACAAAGCAAGTATTTTTTGCCATTCATAGCCCGATTATGCCTGATTAGTACATTTTTGGAGGATGGAATTCGTATGTGGTTCCAGTGGGATGATCAGAAGAATTATATCAATGCTTCTTGGGGTTGTGGTTGGTTTCTCGCAACATTTTTTGTGGGGTTTAATCTCGTTGGGCAGATTGGAGGTTCGTTCATGGTGCTGACACGATTCAGAGTGAACTATGCATGTGAAATGTTGTTTTTTATTGTTGTCCTTCAGGTAAGACGTACCTCTTAATAGCTAATTTTAACTACTACAGATGATTACAAAGTTTTCTTTTCTAAAAATCGCTAAAATTATCGAAACTTAAAACTACATCGTACCAAACATGAAAAATTACCTTAAATATGTGTTCAGTGTATTAAATAGTTGCAAGTTTGGATCATGTTACCACAAAATCATGTTCTGTACTTCGAAACCATCATAAGAGTAACAGTCAAATCCAAATGTTTGGTTGGGGTGCTGCTATTCTTCCTTCTAGTTTACTAAATTAGGGTAGCTATTCTCCCCTCTAGTTTATCAGTTCCATATTAGAGATAGCTATTCTTCCTTTCAGCTTACCAGTTCCATATTAGGGATAGCTATTCTCCCCTCTAGTTTATCAGTTCCATATTAGGGATAGCTATTCTTCCTTTCAGCTTACCAGTTCCATATTAGGGTTAGCTATTCTCCCCTCTAGTTTACCAGTTCCATATTACGGATAGCTATTCTTCCTTTTAGCTTACCAGTTCCAAATTAGGGATAGCT